GGCCTAAACCAGCAGTCTAACATCCCCCAAGGGGTCCCAGATTGGAGAGGGTGCAGGCCAGGCTGAGGGACACCCCCTCTCTGCACAAATTTTGTGCACCAGGCCTCTAGTTTGTTCAGAAGAGGAAGAACCTTGCCATCAGCATAGCTAAAGCACTAGATACCCAAAGATTCAGGGGCAGAAGAAAGAAAAGACTCCCAAACACTTGCATTCACACACTTGTTCCCCTTCTTTTTCCCAACCATCAGTTTTCCATTTATAAACACTCTAAGGAGCTGAGCTATGGTGGAGGGAGTCAGGGGCAGAAATAGGCCCAGCCTCAGACCCAGCACTGTGGAACTTATCATTGTCCCCCATCTTCCCACAGCTTGTTTGATGCTGTCTCTTCATTAATCCGGAACAAGATTCATAGGCTGCCAGTTATTGACCCAGAATCAGGCAACACCTTGTACATCCTCACCCACAAGCGCATCCTCAAGTTCCTCAAATTATTTGTAAGTGCTCCTCAGCCCAGTTTTTACTTCTTATATACTCGGTTGGAAAGGTATCCAAGGGTGATATGGGGAGCCTTGAAAATCAAGGTGATGGTTCCTTCCTCAGATCACTGAGTTCCCCAAGCCAGAGTTCATGTCTAAGTCTCTGGAAGAGCTACAGATTGGCACCTATGCCAACATTGCTATGGTCCGCACTACCACCCCCGTCTACGTGGCTCTGGGCATTTTCGTACAGCACCGAGTCTCGGCCCTGCCTGTGGTGGATGAAAAAGGTGAGAGAGTGGACAGAAGGAGAGGGAAGGCTCCAAGGAAGTCAGGGTGGCTCTGGGAAAATCTGCTTCCCCCTTAGCTCAGCCAGGATGGTGATTCTACCTACGGCCAGGGGGAGTCTTGGATGTCAGATCCTCCTTGCTGAGCTACCTCTGTCCCTCTAGGGCGTGTGGTGGACATCTACTCCAAGTTTGATGTTATCGTGAGTGATTGGGGAGGGGCTGGGAGGTAGGGAAAGGGGTGGCATGTTGGATGTGGAGAGGGAAAAGAAGAGAGTCTCTTCTGGGATCTAAGGGTTTTAAGAAGCTTCCAAGCTTTCAGATTTTATATGAAAAATAATTGAATGAGCTGGGTGTGGCTTGTGGGCATGGCTGACAACTGCCCTAAATCCCTTTGGGGTTGGGTGGACTCAGGGTTTCGGGGCTGGCTCCCTTGCTTCTCTGCAAGCACCTTCCCCTCTCTCCCCAGAATCTGGCAGCAGAAAAGACCTACAACAACCTAGATGTGTCTGTGACCAAAGCCCTCCAACATCGATCACATTACTTTGAGGGTGTCCTTAAGTGCTATCTGCATGAAACTCTGGAGACCATCATCAACAGGCTGGTGGAAGCAGAGGTAGGGGGACCAGTGACCCCAAAGGAGCTGGGGTTTGGCAAGGAAGATAGAGCTTGAAGGGCTCTCCCTGAAGCTGGCACTAAATATCCCTTTCTCTCTTGTTGTTCTCTGCAGGTTCACCGACTTGTAGTGGTGGATGAGAATGATGTGGTCAAGGGAATTGTCTCACTGTCAGACATCCTGCAGGCCCTGGTGCTCACAGGCAGAGAAAAGCCCTGAGCTAGGGGAAGGGGTCAGGTGGCACCAAGGGTTATGCCCACTCACTGCCTGTGCAAAGTTTGGAACCACAGATGAAATCTTGAGAGAATTGTGACTCTGTTCCCTGCCCAAGAGACCTCTGCCCTTCTACCTGAGAGCCAGGGAAGATATGGGGAAAGGAAGGAGAATGGATTTGTAGCTGTCCTATCCTCACACATGAGGAAAACTTTCAGCCTAGCCTATCCCAGCCCCTGTCCTCTTAGACATGCCCCCATTCTGGGTGAACTATGGGCTCTGTGCCGCTTGGACAAATTCTGATCTCTACGAGATCCAGTCTTTGCCTCTATCTCTGCCCCTGACTCCCTCCACCATAGCACAACTCTTCATAAAAATATTTTTATTCATCCTGTTTCATGCTCTATGGGGGAGGCTGAGTCCATTTCATAACATTTCTTCCCATAATGGGAGTGGGGAGGATCATGGGGAGGAAGGCCTTTGGGTTCCTGTGCTATATTCATACGAAGAAAAGTGGGATTGGGTGGAGGAGGACTGCAAAGTGGTTAGCTAAGGTTATTGCTTTTCATGGCAAACCTAATTAAAATGACAGGAACCTCTTCATGATATTGCAGTGTTTGCTTTTTGTAGTTGACAGACAGTCACTACTGCTCCAGCCTTTCTACTTCATATGGCTTCTTCAACTCATTAATTACAATAACACACTTTATAGAAAACTGCCCATCATTCTCAGTGCTTTACATATACTAATTCATTTACTCCTCAGAACAAAAGTAGATATTCCAGTTTTATAGATTTAAAAGAAACGAAGGCACAGAGAGGCTAACTAGCCCAAGGCAACACAGCTAGTAAAAAGTACAGAGCTAGCATGTGAACCCAGCTGGCACCAGAGCTCGTGCTCTTTATCACTACATTAGACTTACTACCTTTCTAAATCTCCATTAAAAACTGTTCTCACCTTATTCCCTACAATCCTTATCACCCCCACGTTCCCTTCTGCCTGGGCCGTAGCTGATATCCCAGGAAAAGCACATAACAGTGTTAGGTCTCCAGAGAGTAGACGGAGACATGCCACCATCAAAAGGTTGGACTCTGTATTTGGATTTTGCTGAACTGGCACTGTCTTTGAACCTGAAATTTCCAAAGTGAGAATGAGCTGTAGGGTATGCAGTGGGGGAGCAGCAGAACTATGGTCACCTCATCAAACCCTTTCCCTGTGCTGAAACCATATGGGCCAAAACAGTAGTCAAGCCCAGCTGGCGTGGTTCAGTGGTTGAGCATCAACCTATGAACCAGGAGGTCACAATTCAATTCCCAGTTGGGTCACATGCCTGAGTTACAGGCTTGATCCTGTGTGGTGCCTGCAGGAAGCAGCCCATCAATGATTCTCCCTCTCCCTTCCTCTCTGAAATCAATAAAAATATATTTAAAAAAACAAGACAGTATAAGAGCACCTAGACTGTTGGGTATGAGCCAAATTCTGGATACCATCTCACCACTGCTTTGCAGGTATTATACCATTTCCATCTTGGATACCAAGACCAGGAGCGATTTCAGAGTAGCACCTTGCCCCTACCCCCACTTGCCCAAGAACCCTAATGATCCCAACCATACCATATCGGTCCCTCCAAACCAGGCTTTCTGATGGAACCCGGGGAAAGCATCAAGGCAGCTTCCAGTGCTACATCCTGGCTTTGAAGAAGCCCCTGCTTCTGCATTCACCTCTTCACAGTTCTCAGCACATTCCTAGACTTGAGGGAGGGAGACATTCCAAGTTATTATAATTAGAGCATGTTTATATGTGTGGGGGTGAGTGCATGGAGGAAAGGACAGATGTCTCCTTGTCACATTCCATCATGAAGTAGGATTTGTCTAGGGAGGAGGCAAGGACTTTAAAAAGCCTTAGTACTCTGGTGGGAAGCACCTTCAAGCAAAGAGCCATCAGCACAACTGGTAGGTGTAAGGAGGAGGGGGGGAATGTCAATGGATGGGATAGGGGATATATGGGTTCTTTTAAAAAGTCCATGTTGCCAAAACCGGTTTGGCTCAGTGGATAGAGCGTCGGCCTGCGGACTGAAAGGTCCCAGGTTCGATTCCAGTCAAGGGCATGTGCCTGGGTTGCGGGCACATCCCCCGTGGGAGATGTGCAGGAGGCGGCTGGTCGATGTTTCTCTCTTATCGATGTTTCTGGCTCTCTGTCTCTCTCCCTTCCTCTCTGTAGAAAATCAATAAAATATATTTTTTTTAAAAAAAGTCCATGTTAGGGAGGTTAGGGAGCAGGAGGCCTGTGTTCTGTTGCTCTGGTTCTCAATTAAGTTGGTCTGCCCCAAACAACCCTTCTGGGGAAGGGTCTATCCCAAAGGGCTGCAGGTATGTTAGTGGAAAACAAATTAGGATCTCTTGCTTTTCCATTCCCTGCTAAAACCCAACCAGTCTCAGAGTCTGAGGATGGAGCAGAAGGAAAGACAAGGAACAAAATTTGGAGCCTCATAACCTATTCCCACCTATTCTCAGGAGAGGCAAATGATCCCTTTCTCAGGAACCATTGCCATACACACTTTCTTCCCTCACCCCACACCCCTCCCCTCTGCTGGAGCTGCTGCCATGGTTGCCAGGCATGGTTGCTAAGTCTCTGCATGGAAGAGTTGGCGTGGGCTGTGCTGCCACTAACATTACCATGGTGAATCAGGGGACACCTGGTATAGGCTTGGGGGTGGGGGTCGGGGGGACATGTGAATGTAACTCCCCAGGACAGAATGAGCCTAAAAGGTGAGCATCTTGAGCACCACTTCAGGTGGGGGCTGAGTGAGCTAGGCATTGTGGTAGTGGTGACGGGGAGCTCTATGCTGGAAAACGGGCCACTTTTATCATCTCAGTTGCTAGGGGATTAGTTTTGCCAAGGGAGCACACCATTCCTCCATCCTCCGAAAGGGTGCAAATAAATGCATAAGCGCCCTAGTCTATCCTCCATAAGGCTAAGCAGAGCTGTGTGGGCACAGAACAGTATGACCCCAACATTCTGGATTGTGAGAGAGCGTGCTGCAGGGAGCGGGCTCCATGGGTGCCCAAGGACAAACATCTAGAACACGGAGTGAGGGGCCGTTTCCATGGCTAAGAAATGCCTTTCTCCTGCTGTACCAGCAGCCTGGGCTACAGTTAAGGGGATGGGGATCACCCTTTTGAGCTAGGGGAGGATAGCTCCCCCCAGTCACACAAAAGCTGCATGAAAGCTACTGCCTCCTCCTTCCACCACATGGAAGCTGGTTACTCATCTCCTCTCTGCACCCGAATGCCACTGCCGCTAAAAATAGCCCCCCCAGCCTGGGCCAGCCCCTCCTGCACCCCAACCCCATGGAAACCAGCAAGAGTGGCAGGCAGAGACCTTAAGTTCCATTTCCATCACCTTCCTGTCAGAGAAACTGAAGTCCCTGAAGTCTGAGGCAAGAAGTCAAGGGCAGAACCCTGGTGGTCAAGCACCTTGACAAGGAGGGGAGTGAAGGGTTAAAATAGCAGGAAGGTTGAAGCAATGGGGATGGGGGAGGGGGCACTGTCAGCTTGGCAGTAAGAAGTTCCCTGCCCACTCCTGCAGGTTCCATCGGGCTTCGGGGACATGAGAAGTGGGAAGGGGCTCCCAAATCCGGGCCCCAGGGGGCGTCCATGCACATGGGGGAGGTAGCAGCGCGGAGCTATCCCCGCCATGTCACATGCGCTCACACACACACAGACAGGCACACACGTGTGCCCGGGTATATATAGTCCCCAGTCGCTGGGCCTGTCGCTCTGCAGTGGGCGCCGGCTTCCTGGGCTGGGAAGGGGCTCTCGAGGGGTGGGGCAGGATGCTGGATGGTCATTTATTCTCCGAGGGGCCTGACAGCCCCCGGGAGCTCCAGGATGAGGAGTCTGGAAGCTGCCTCTGGGTGCAGAAATCCAAGCTGCTGGTGATCCAAGTGAAGACTATTTCCTGTCATTATAGTCCCCGCGCCCCTCCTCGACAGACCATGGACTTCCAGGCCGGCCACTGGATCCGCGAGCCCCAGAGCCACACGTGAGTGGATGAGAAGTGAGGGGAAGAGCGCGGTGGGGTGGGTCCGGACTTCCCCCGGCACAGCCAGCGCTGCTGCGCCCCCTTCTCTTTCCCACGCGCCCCCAACCCATCCGGAGAGCTAGAGTTTGACCTATCCCGCGTTGTCCGGGGAAACAGGCATGGGTGTGAAAAGGGCAGGAGGTGAGATGGGGCAGACGCCGGTAAAGTGTGCATGGAGGGATGGTGAAAAATCCCGTTTAGACTTCAGCCCCAACATATATGTGCACGTGCGCGCGCGCGCACACACACACACACCCTTCCACATGGCTGCCCAAAGTGGTCTGTAGAGCTCCCAGCTCCCCGGACCTCGGCTCCCTTCCCCCACAAACTGCTCACCTGGGTTCCTGCTCATTGTCCCAGGTGTGGGCCGCGCCCGGG